GAAAGCAAATGAAACGATGGGGGAGTTGAATCACGTGATGGGCAGCAGAATCGTGGTACGGACGACAAAGTGGAGGGACCCAAGACCCATGATGTAGAGGGGTTTGATCCGCCCTCTACCGCCACTTGTCAAACAACCCACGTGTCTTCCACTCCCTGCAACCAAACGAGAGGACCACGTTGCATGTTGAAAACATCTTTTAAGCCCCCTCGGCAACCAGCATTAGGTGCTACGGGGCCTGGCTGAAGTAGTGTCACTGGCCCACTTATCCGGTTTCAGAGACAACCACGTTTCACTTTATCTCTACGTTTCGTCTCCTTCCATTCCAGACCCCGCTCTTGCCCGCCGTTCCCTAGACAGCCACACCTTATTGCAACCTTTCATTGTTTACTTTTGTTTTTTTCCTTTTAAGTATACACTAAAATATGGCAATAAAGATTTTTTATTCTTTTTTTAATTACAGAATTACAGACATTTATCTTTCTTTCTCCTTTTATTAAAACTAACCCCAGTCTTTTAGAAAATTTTGAATTTCTCAAGAAAATACCAACTTTAATATTTTATTATCTATGCGTTTCTTTTTTGGCACGAATTCCATTAATTGGGTTAGAATCATGATAATGATATATATTATTCGGAAAAGATGATTAGTGATATATGATATGGTGGAATATCTTATAGAAATTTTCTATTCTACTGTCACTTGCTTTGGATTTCTGAGCTGGTTTGCACCTTCTTTTACTTAATAAAATATATTTTTTAAATTGAACATAAATATATGATAAATGATATTAAAATTTATTCAATTTATATAAAATTTCATAATTGATATTCAAATCGAGATAATTTTTTAATTACAATAGATATTTCTCCTTTACACTTGAAAGAGCAAATGCAACAAAAATGTTAAATAATTAAGTGAGAGAAAATGTCGTAGATCTCAACTAATAAACATTAAGTTAAAAATGTAAGTTTGTGATATGTGCATGTTCTTAAAGAGTGTTCTATTTCAAAAAGTCTTTAGAATCTCTAGCTAATATGTACTTAGGAAAGAATATCTTCTCTATTATCATAAAAAAATAAAACATCTAAAAAAGCCTTAAATTATGCTTTTATTGTATTTTTTTATAATTTAGAGAAAGATGATTCGAACCCTTTATGCACTAACCAATGAGTCCAATGTTCAAATGTTTTGATTTTTTTATTATATTTAATTAAATTTTTATTTTTTTATTTTGAGGTAAATAAGCTCTTATAACTAATGATTGATTTAATTAAAATGTTATTTCTCATTTTAAATTCTATGTCATAATAAATGACGA